TTTAATAAAATTTTCCAACACTTGAATTGGACACCATTTGGAAAAGGTAGGATAATATTTAATTTCTACTGGGGGGCCTGTCTGGTTTGTTTTAGTATGGGGGATCGATAGTATGTAATGGTCGTTTTCCTTTGCTAAGTATTTTTGCTTAAGGCATGACTCAAGGTCGGACGTTTTTTCTACTGAAAATTCTTTGGGTCTTAAAAACCTGAAAGAAACCATATAGGCTGCTGACTTTATTACCAGGTTAGTGGTATTGTCAAAAGGATTTTTGTCTAATAATTCAGTAAAAAACTTTTATTCTTTGAATACCTTTCAGTATGTTTTTGACTGGGTATGTGGATAAGATTGATGTTTTGTTTGGGTAAAGGGTCAACATGTTATGTTGTATGCCTGTCAAGTATAGTTTAATAGTATTGTATGCTAGTTTCAAAGAGAAGTAGCTGTAAATGAAAAGACATTTATTATATTAAAGTCATGCTCAAACTTTTTAAACAGATCGTATGCTCTAGCATAAGCTTTTTTGGTGTTAACTGAAAATTCAGCTTGTATTCTGCTGTGTTTTAATAATAGATTTAAAGCATGATTAGGTCTTAGAATTGTGGAGGTTCTTTGGGCTGAACGTTCGCTGTAGGATGAAGTCTGAAAAACTCCTTTAAATTAGAACGTGACAGAGCATAGGCTGCGTTATTCAAAATGCCTGGTACATGGATACAATATATGTAGAACTGAAGATTAGCTGCCAACTAGGTAAGTTTCCTTACAAAATTCATAATTACAAGGTATTGAGAGCGGTCTTTGTTAATAATGTTACAAGCTGAAGGATTGTCTGAACAACACCTAACTGCTTTACCTCTCCATTCTTTGCCCCATATGTGGGCTGCAACTACTATTGGGACTATTTCAAACAGAGCTGAGGTCTTATTAAAGTTTTCTAGGGTAGAGGTTCTGATGGCAAAGTGTCATAAACCCAGTCATTGCCAAATATAGCAGCATAACCTAAGGTTCCCGCTGCATTCGTCCAAATAATTCATCAGAGATGGGGGGATGAATAATGACTTGCCATTCCAAAAGGACAAAAATAGATGCCATATTCATAGGTCAGCTTTAGCTGGATCGCGTTATTCAAAATGCCTGGTACATGGATACAATATATGTAGAACTGAAGATTAGCTGCCAACTAGGTAAGTTTCCTTACAAAATTCATAATTACAAGGTATTGAGAGCGGTCTTTGTTAATAATGTTACAAGCTGAAGGATTGTCTGAACAACACCTAACTGCTTTACCTCTCCATTCTTTGCCCCATATGTGGGCTGCAACTACTATTGGGACTATTTCAAACAGAGCTGAGGTCTTATTAAAGTTTTCTAGGGTAGAGGTTCTGATGGCAAAGTGTCATAAACCCAGTCATTGCCAAATATAGCAGCATAACCTAAGGTTCCCGCTGCATTCGTCCAAATGTCTGGGGATTCATCAGAGATGGGGGGATGAATAATGACTTGCCATTCCAAAAGGACAAAAATAGATGCCATATTCATAGGTCAGCTTTAGCTGGATCGTCTAAATTGGTTCTAGAATCGTCGTGAGGGAGACCGTGTAAAAGAGAAAGTATTCTTGAGATGAAGGCCCTACCTTGAGGAATAATCAATCCTCATAGCGAAGTTAAGTGAACCTAGAAGTGACTGTAATTCCTTTCTGGTGCAAGACCCATGAGTGGTGCAGACGTCAATAAATGATAAAATCCCGTCTACCTTTTCCTGAGGCAGGCTAGCTTGCATAGATAGTGAATTTAGCATAATACCCAGGAAAGTTATTTCTGTACTGGGACCTTCCGTTTTGTCTGGGGCTACAGGAACAACCAATTCCTTGAATAGGGAAAGTGTGCGTTGTAAACTGTATGGTACGCAGTAGTGTGGTTCAATAGAGAGAAAATCATCAAGATAGTGGATCACAACTGGACATCTGCTTTTGTTAAGTAAGAGCCAGGTCAAGGTCTCTGCGAATATATCGAAAAATTTTGGGCTACTTTTGGAATCAAAAGTCAGTTTTGTCGCAAATAGTATTTATCCTCCCACTTAAAGCCATGCAGATGCCAGAGTGATTGATGAATTGGTAGTACTTTAAAAGCATTTGTGATGTCTGTTTTACTTAACCAGGCTGCCTTGCCGAAGTTAATAATAGCTTGTATGGCATCGTCAATTTTTGCATATTGTAATGAGAAGTCTTCTGATTGTATTAGTGAATTTAAACTACGGGTAGTGGAAGTGGAGTGAGGGGCTGAGAAATCAATAATGAGTCTCTTTTTGTTATTATATTTACCTGTAGCTATGCCTAGAGGGTTTGTTCTCCAAGAGGTGAACGGTGGAGTAGAGAAGGGCCCTATCATAAAACCATTCTCGATTTCTTTATTGCATAGTTCTTGTAAACTAGTTGGGTCTGATAGTGCTGATTGTAGGTTGCGGCATTCTAGGATGCCTGAGGGGAGAGCAACAAAGCCTGTGTGAAACCCATTAGTGAAACCAGAGGTAAGGAAGTAAACCAGGTGTGAAGAAGGATAAGCAGTCAAGTAACATTGCAAATTGGGTACGTTTATTGGGATTAATGATTTTTTTGGGAACAATTTGTTCGGACACATTGTTTTGCATGTGCTCTAAAACAGAGTGAGCAAATGTGAAGTAGTCTACAGGCACTGTAACTACACCCCCCCGCATTGAAGTTATTACACACCTGAGCTTTTCCTAGAAAAATAATAGGCCTCCCTAAATCCCGCAAAATGTCTACAAAACAACTCTGTGTCTAACTGGCCCCAGTCAGTAGGAGTATTATACTGAGCCAGTGTTGCAGTGGATCTTGCTGAAAATAACTTATGGTAATCATAGAACGCGTAGCCTCCGTATTTATAAGCTAGATCCACCAGCTTGTGCAAGTATAAATTCAGTTCCTCTCTATGGTGGGGGGAAGGAAGATCAAATAACATCCCTATATAATCCAAAAGCTAAAACAAATTCTGGAATATTTAGTTTCCTGTTAAGTCTGGGGTCTCTAGACTTCATTACCAGAGATAAATCGTCAAATGTTTATGACCTGTTTTCAATTATATCCTGTAAAGCAATGAGGAGAGGAGCCATATTGATATCTTTTCCCTCTAATATGTCTCATTTTAAATTTTGTGGAATCAAATGTACTGGATTAATGATGTTAGTATTTTTGGCAGGAACAGGAGTAGAGTTACCTCCTGTGCTTGGTTCAGGCTGAGCTACAGGACGTTGAACATCCGGAATGATTGTTTGGTTATTGGCTTCCAGGTTGGACGTCCAGAATGATTGTTTGGTTATTGTAGCAACCAGTTGTTAATTGTTGCTACAGAAGCCACCAGACAAGTTGTTTTAGATATAACAATCAGAACTAGGGCCAGGTCTTTCATTATCATTATGCGTATTTAGTAAACGGAAAAGTTCGGCTTTCCTGGCTAAGGCAAGAAAGGGAATGTTCCTTCTATTGAGTTCAGCAGTAATTTTTGGAATTGTCCAGGATCTGTAGCTTTACGCTGTGCTGCCTACGCTGGTTTGCCTCGTCTGAGCGTTAGCTCTGGTTGGGGTGCTGGTAAGCAATAGGTCATCATCTTGAACTGAAACGTTAGACATGCTATGGGTGTTAAGGAAACGCTTAGGTTATTATGATATCCTGATAGGTATGAAATGAACCAGCTCACTAGTTTCTAGTGCCAAGAGGTAAAATTCTATTATACTAACTAATTAGGTGACAGGTGACACCCTGACGACTTGCCAAGTGGCTTTGAGAGGCTCTACCTATGATTTGGCGTGTGTGGGCTTTTTTTGATTTTTTATCATCAATCCTGCTGATGTAAGCGTTGGGGTGTTGGCCTCTCGGTGACAACTACAAGACATAAGTTAGATTTGGCCGTGACAGGTGAGGCCCTGACTATACCACAAAGCAAGGCACTAGCTATGTGTTGGGCTGTTGGGCTTGTACGTCCGAGTTTGAGGATGGGAGTTGGCCTTGCAGGACCACTAACTAATAAAAGGCATGAGAAGTAATTATTGCTAATTGGGGAGGACTTTGTTTTTTTTTTATGCATGTTACACATAGTAAACTGGTATGGCATATTTGAGTACTTCAAACGTTTCCTTTTGGCCTATTTATGTTAACTGGATAGTGTGTACCAAGATCTGTAACCATATTAGTTTGGCGGGAAAAAGGGAAAACAAAGATAGAGAGAAACTATTAATCTATTTATCTGGCGTAACTCAAATTAATTTATTTATCACCTGGCTAATATTTTAATACAAGTTTCATACAGAATGGATGAAATAATACTATTAAACTGAAAACTTATTTATAAGAATTAGATTAATTCTCTATAGGTAACTTAAATTTTTTTTATTTTTTTTTCAATGACGAGCATATGAGTGAAGAATTGTAAACGTATTAAATGATAAAGACTGACCTGGGATATGTATTAGGTGTAATTAATATATAACATGCTATGGGAATTAAACGTATGAATACTTTGAAGAAGAGTGAACAAATTATACCAAAAGAAAGTTCCCGCTCTTTTGTAAGAATTTGACGTGAATGGCATTAGCTTAATCATGAACATTTAAATGGAAACCCCACGAAAGCTTTATTCGTATACTTCCCCATACGAAAGAAATATTACTAGAGTATGTGAATAGAAACTAACGGACATATTAAATGTAATTGAAGTTGTGAACCGACCTTTCGAATAATTTGTTTAAACAAATGATTTGATGAACGGATTGAAATGTCTTAACGAAATGACTACCAGATACACATAATTGTGAAACTTGAAATGCACGAACGCTGAGAACTAGCTGAACATTCGTTTGTACAACCGCATGAAAGATTATTAAACAGCCAAATCATAATGTACAAAATAATTTTGAAACAAATGATATGTAGTGATGTCCCAAACTGTTCGCCGAACTGTTCGCCACGGTTCGCCGCGGACTCCAGTCAGCAGACACATTCCAGCCAATCAGCAGCAGACCCTCCCTCCCACCTCCTGGACAGCTCACTAAGTATGCAGCTTCAAAATGGATGCTATCCAGGAGTTGGGAGGGTCTGGGAGGGAGGGTCTGCTGCTGATTGGCTGGAATGTGTCTGCTGACCGCAGTTCGTGGCGAACCGTGGCGAACAGTTCGGGACATCACTAATGATATGTAACTGAGGATTATGTACAGCCTGTATAACAATGTAAATTTATGGTCCCCTCAAAATAACTCAACACACAGCCCTTAATGTCTAAATCGTTGGCAGCAACGGTCCAAGTGGAAATGTTCAAATTGGTCCCAAAGTGTACATACACAGTTAAATATGCAAATACATTAGATTAAATTAGAATAGAGACACTCGGGCTTGAGTATTCTCAACCCAGCTGAATATAAACATGATTTATATAGATAAATGTGAAGTAGACTACTAGGTCTTAACAAACAGTTCATTTTATCTTATTCAAAAGAAATTCTGGAGAAGATGAAAGAGGACTGTTGAGATGTATCTGCCTGGAAATGGTTACAAAACCATTTGCTGTCTTGAGGTGAGGACCTCACATCAGTGAAGGAACCAAATGCAGAGAGTGCCCAAGCATACATATTCCATAGTACTGCAGACTTGTAAAATATGCCATGTTGTGCTTATTCTAATACAAAGTCTGCAATATGATGGAATCTGTGTGGATTCGTGGTTTCAGACAGTGGTAAAAAATGTAAGTGCATGTTTAAGCAAGACTCATTACATGTATTCCACAGGTTTACAAACTTTGGTCAAAATAGTCAACAGATTGGTAAATAGCTAAGTATTTTTCAATGCAGCTATTTTTCCAAAATATAATATTTTTCTATAGTTGACATAATTCTTTGTTGAGGGAATAAACTTCCAAAGAAGCCAAACAGAATAAAACTGCAAATTCAAATAGATCAGTTTCTTCTATCTGTGTAACTCTCATTACCTGGTTTCTCTATTATGCAGAACTTCTTACAGCAGTAAAAGGGAAAAAGCAATGGCCCATAGCTTTAACATAAATATTTGAACTTTTCCCAGTGTGCTCTTTTTTTATACATGCCATTTATATTAAGTTATTACTGACCCTTTGAGGACATTTTTACAGCTCATTGACTGAGATTAAATGTCCTCTGGAAAAAAGAGCATAAATAAATTATGTATCATACAGGGGTGTGTAATAGATTAAACTTCATTAACTTTTTTTTTTTACTTCAGTTACTATGAGGATATGATGTATTTCAAGGTTTTAATATGCAGTTCCTTGCAAAAATATTCAGACCTCTAGCAAATTCTTTAAATTACTAAATTACATGTGGCACATTCAACTTGTCTACTATATGATACTCTATAACACGCTGATGTTCAAAATCAATTATTTTAAATTTGCACTCTTCAAATTATGGAAAATCACTAGGGAAAAATAGAAAATAATAGTCTAGTAAGTAGTCTACTTCTGTGCTCTCATTGCCTTGTGCAAATTTTGAGCCACTTTACAATCTGGGAACGCATTTGGCATCTGCTATAAACATTTAAAATGTGCATGCTACAATGTCAGTTAAGATTTTGTGACCAGGTTATACCAAAATGCAAAATAGTATTTTTAAAAACTACCCTGTTCAAAAACAATTAAATATTGTATTTAATAGCTGTGTAAATGTTTAAAAAAATTCTAAAGATTAAAACATAGTAGAATGCACATATTGCTGCTGAACAATGTAAGAAACAAATACAGGTTTATACAGTTTTGACATAAACCGAGTATGCAACAATTTTACAAGTTACATGAATATGAAGCAGCCAGTCTTTAAAGTCTTAAAGAAGGAAAGAGCTAACGCTGGAAGAAAGTTCTCTGTACTGAATATCTTCACACTTGAGATGAAGAGTTGGCTAAAACTTGATGGTGAAGTAGATCTACAGCTTCTATACATGTATTGACAATTTATGCACCAAAATACTTTGCATAGATCTAAGACTCTAGGCACCAAATGAGACAAGTACATGCTTGTGTTTGGACTAAAAGGTGTAAACTCTGATAGATATCAGATACCCACATTATTTGTCCAATTAGGCCTCTTTTGGATGTTGATATTGCCAGATGTTCTTTAAGTGCAGAAAGAGAATTGATCTTTGAGTATCGTAGGAAAGTTTGATAAACAAGTAGAACAATTTCCTGAAATAGCATTAATTACTAAGTGTTAATATATCAAAACTACAATCATACTTGAATTATAAAAACATTAGTATATAGGAGTATTTGCTATTCATTTGTATTTATATTGTAAGATATAGGATACATTATCACACAAAAATTAATACTAACAAATTAATAATAACAAAATAATGATAAAATAATGATAAAAAGATTCACAACAATTAATAAATAGCAAAAAAAAAATCACATGAGATGGCAGTACAGTAACACATTTTCTGATCACATATGTTTCTGATTATTTATTTAATGGGGACACCTTGTCAGCTACTTAAATTATACAATAGTATGTTATCTTAAAAACTAGTCTATTAATTGCCTACTGCAATTTGCATGTGTTTTTATCTCTCTCCTTTTTACTTTACCTACGATATCTCAAGTTTATTGTATGATTAATTATTATCAGTTTTCTGTATAATTAACTATTGTCTAATGTATCTTATTCAGTCTGGAATAAATTGCTCTTTCAAAAAATAATTCTACAGTAATGCTATTTTTAAAATCACTGTGATATCATTCACATATATAAAAAAATAAAATACATAATTTTACATAAAAATATATATAATTTACTAACGTGTAAAAGACACAAAACACATGTTTATATATGCAAATTACAAAACCAAAAATATAAACAAATAATCCTAATAAAAACAAAGCATAGCCACAATAAACTACATATGGAGTGGATTTTATTTTTATTTCTAAAGCAATATTTACACATTGATAATATTGTATTAATTCAGAAAAAATAGTAGATCTATGAGTTATTATATATCAGTAGCTAAGGGGTAGGATTCAGCTCTGACGACATACTGGTAGTTTAAAAAAGGAAGCTAAAAAAACCCAGGCTTGAGTCTCACTTATCCGTGAGAAGTATGAGGTAATGGAGGGAAGGAGTTGAGAGTAGCACCTTAATATATTTTCCGAAGGCACCTGCAACAAGACACAGGAGGACAGGGGGAATAGTATAGTGTAGTATGTAATATCACTTGAAATGGAAGAAAAAAGTACAGTAAATACAGCGGAATAGCTCTTATTTGTTGTGCTTGAGCTGTATGATCCCAGTCTAAGGATATTATGATGTGTCTCTTGATCTCAGTACAGTGTCAAGAAATATGGAACAAAACACAGAAATGGACACTATATAGTGTAGTATTTTATAATACTAAAGTATTATAAAATAAATAAAACAGGAAATACACTCATATTTATTGGAACCTAATATCTGGCTCTTTTAGACAGCGTATAGTGGTATGATACTCTAAGCATAGAGGTGATGTGGTGTCTTCTCTGTGGTATTGACTCAGGAGCAAAGTAAGGTTTTGCTCACTCCTTAAAGCGCTGGTGGTACACTTCCCACCTTGGAGAATGAAGTCCAGGAAGATCGTAGGAAAATCCAATATTAGAGAGGATAGTCCACGGTAGTAAGCATAATTATCATATTTATTAAATGTAATAAAATAATAAGATAAACAATAATAGAATAAAACTAACATAATGCATTTTTCACAGCATATTGTTTTTTTTAATAGCTACATATTCCCCTCAAGATATACATTAACCCCTTCACTATGAGTCTCGGGTTTGCACAATTACCAGGGTATGGTCCTGTGGAAGTAGACAAAAATATTACCAGGTTCAATAAAAAGCGTTTTAATTGACCATTACAATACACAGAGATATCTCATGGAGATTGGCAAGAAGCAATCTAACATCATGTTACAATTCCTCATATTTTATACATATGACCCGGAACCGGCCTTTCGTTTAGCTTGAATCAGAACTCCAAATATGGTCTTATTTCCTATTGGCTAAATTCTAGCATAACTGACAAATTTAAGGTTCAAACGTTTAAGCATCCCAGATGACTTGACCACAGTCATGCGTCTTACTTCGCTAAAATATCGCTTGTCTATGATAAAAGTTAACACATATAAGACTTCCTCTTTCACAACTTAAGCACACATTTCACCTTTCCCCCCCCTGGCAACATCTGACAAGACACGCTTTCAAAATAACCTTTCCTTTTGCAATCCAAAAAACAGTCCAGACATCCATTAATAAATTGTAGCAATAAAACATAGTTTCTTCTTATTTCTTAGAGTAAATATTCTTCTTTGATTATATTTTAAGATGATGAATAAACAGCAAAATGGCTGACAGCATGTCAGTAGCAGGTTACATATGTTCACAGTCCTATGCACCAGAATCGTGTATACATTACTTTACCTGTTGCAAGCAAAATTTGTTTATTGAAAAATAATTTTGTTTTGCATTTGGTGTCTTTAGAATTGTGGGTTGTCTGCCCTGTAACAGATAGACCCGACATTACTTTTGCTCAAGACAGTGAGAGGATTAAAAGATGCCCTCACCAGAGCTCTGATTACTTGTTACAGCCCAGGATTTGCAGTTCTGTACCTGCACTGGTTGTAGATCACTTCCAATGCACCCTTGTGGTCTTAACCTAGAAGGGGTCATTTACAGGGGTCTGCAACTAGTTAGAGGTGCAGACATACAGTGTTGGATACCAGAATACAAACAACAGATTTTTCAGCATCACTGGACCACCAGGAAACTTTCCCACCTGCCTTTCATTAATATAAGCAGCAGGGGGAGCAACAATAAAAAATATAAATATTTTTAACTGTGTGGGGATGTTGGACACATAAATACAGCTTCCCCATACACATTCCCACCTCATGGTCACCCTCAAAAATTACATCACCCACAGAACCACAGTGCATGCACAGTAACCACATATACACACAGTCACCCCTCCACACACTCACATGACTCACATGCTTACATTTTTTTTTTTAAATCACATCCGGTGTCCTTGCATTAAAGGACACATTCATTTTTTATTAATATCCCAAACAAAATCACACAAAAC